CAGGATGTCGGCATAAGCAGTTCCAGAGATAAGCGATATGAGAATTTAAGTTTGTATGGGCGGTGCCATGCCCTTTTTCCAAAATATACCATATTTCACCGTAAGTACGGTATTGAAAACGTATGTTGCTGTGTAAAATTTCAGGATATCAGCATAAACAGTTCCAGAGATAAGCGATATAAGAATTTCAGTTTGTACGGGCGGTGCCACGCCCCTTTTCCAAAATCTACCATATTTCGCCGAAAGTACGGTATTGACAACATATATTGCTGTGTCAATTTTCGGGACGTTAGCATAAGTGGTTGTAGAGATAAGCGATGTGAGAATTTCAATTTGTATGGGCGGTGCCACGCCCCTTTCCAAAATGTACCACTCTTCGCCGTAAGTACGGTATTGATAACATATGTTGCTGTGTGAAATTTCAGGACGTTAGCATAAGTGGTTCCAGAGATAAGCGATATGAGAATTTCAGTTTTTATGGGCGGTGCCACGCCCCCTTTTCTAAAATCTACCAGTTTTCGCCGTAAGTACGGTATTGATAACATATGTTGCTGTGTCAAATTTCAAGGCGTTAGCTTAAGCTGTTCCAGAGATAGGCGATATGAGAATTTAAATTTGTATGGGAAGTGCCACGCCCACTTTCCCAGTACCTACCATTTTTCACCGTAAGTAGGGTATTTACAATCTATGCATCTTTGCTAAGTTTCAGTTGCCCAGCATAATTGGTTTTAGAGATATAGTGATTTTCACATTTTAGTCTATATGTCAAATGCCACGCCCCCTATGTATCGGGATTAACATTTCTGGATTAGAGGAAGTTATGTCCTTTAAATGGGTGTATCTTACATTGAAATCGAGCGAAGGCACCAAAAAAGGGATTGCAAAATTTTCTTGTGGCGTATTTATATATAGATGTTGGAAAAAAATCTCTACATGCCATATTTTAATGTACAGGGTGTCCTAGATTACACATGCAAACGCTCTAAAATGGAGGAAAATGTTTTTTTTTTATTGAAAAACGCAAAAATATGATCTACCAAATTCGGGGATGCTCTACCTTTTTGTGGTATTACCGCCTTCCAGTTTCGACCGGAAGTGGGTTCAATTGACCGGAAAGTCATTATTTTTAATTAGACACTCATGTTTTTACTACAAAAATAGATACGTAACTTCTATTTGAAACCATTTTCTCGGAAGTGTCTTTTTCAACCCTTAAATAACCTTCAACTCATCCTGGACTTATAAAATGGTTGAAAATGATTTACTGGAAACGGGAAAATATGAATCACCAACTCGGGGATGCTTTATTTTTGGTCGTATTACCGACTTCCGGTTTCATCCGTATGTGGGTTGAACTAACCTGAAGCCTCTTTTCTTACACATTTCTGTTCGGTTTCTGAGGATAAAAGTACGTAACTTTTGTTTGAAACTTTTTTCACAGAAGTGCTTTTATCGACCACTAAATGGCCTGTATAATTTGAGTTTCTCCCCAAAAAAAGAGAAAAGTTAAAAAAGGCGTTGGTACCCGGTACTCGTGATATGTGATATGTAAAAATCTGTGTTTCGAACAAGACACCAAATGGTCCTCAAAATGTCCTGAACTAATCCCCAAAAAGTCCCGAACTAACTACCATTTAAACAGTCCCGAACTGTACCCGAAAAAGTTCTGAACTAGGCCCGAAATGATCTAAAAAAAGTACCAATGGTCCTGAACTAGATGCAAATAGGTCCCGAAAAAGTCCTGAAATGGTCCCGAAACTGTTTCGAAAAAAGTATATCAATGAGCTACAACAGCAAATTTTGCGCATACCGGTAGCAAAGAGTTTACACATCCCAAACCCCAGGGAAAGTAATTTCAGTATTTTTTAAATTTCCGCAATGCTTCTGACCAGATTTTGTTGATATTGATATTCATCCAATATCTTTGAATTATCAGTCGATAACGCTAACAAACAAATTTATAATACCTTCATAGTTGGCAGACACCATTTTGAGATACCCTTTGAAAAGCATATGAATAACCATCGGTAAGTTAACACCGGACAATGGGCGGCTTAAACTTCTGACTGTGTACATACACAGCTACGAAATGAGTACTGACCCAGCAAAAAATCAGTAATCACTTTTAGTGGTAACGTGTTCTAGAACGCATTACCGGAAATGCATAGTATAATGTTCTACAATATTTTATTAATTTCGCTGCTTAGATTCATTAAGGGGAATGCAAAGTAGAATGCTTCACCATAGTCAGCTGATAAATAGAATGAATACCCGAAAATTCTTTTCCACCGTTAATATCTGTGGAAAATTCCATTGCATGAAAATCATGTTTTGTTTTGTTTAATTTACGGCGAAGCTGAAGTCAGTAAATAAAGTGAAGTACGTGAGAGAGGAAATACAGTTTTAAGTTTAATTAAATATGTATGTTTGTACCGATTTTTAAGTAAGCTCGAATTTTAGTCTTTTAAGACAATCTGTGTTTTATGTTTTCAATTTGATACTTATGTAGTACTTATCTATGCAGCCTATGTACATTAGTTTCCCATCGCCTAGTTCGATTCCATTTTACTTTCTGGGGTAATCGTGTTTTTTGCTGGGAAATTTCACGCCAATAAGTTAATAATCAACACACTAATAAACTATGTATGTGTATATGTCATATGGCCGGCATGTAACCGCCAGGAGCATGTACAAGTATCTTGGTGTACACTTATATTGCACTTGAATTTCTATGGTTTGTGATGTGTTAGGAAGTGCTTCATTTGCAGTACTACTAAACATATATAATTTTTATAGCGATTTTACAGCCTCAAGAACACAAAAACATTTAGTCCGGAATCAAAGCCTGAATAGTTTCTTGTTTTTTTTTTTATTCATCATCATTAACAAAGGCAGTGAAAAATTTCACCGGATATATCTTTCCTATAAATTTAGGGAAAAATATTAAGATACTCAGCAAAATCTGCGTATATCACTAGCTGGAGCTATCGACAGCTCTTGCGATGGTGGTTTCTTTATCTTTATCCTTGACTTTGTTTGGTCTTGTTCTTAGCCTTGGTTTTAGTCTTGGTTTTGGTCTTATTCTTGGTCTTGGTCTTGGTCTTGGCCTTGGTCTTGGTTTTTGACTTGGTCTTGGTCTTTGTCTTGGTCTTGAACTTTGTATTGGTCTTGGTCGTGGTCTTAGTCTTAGTCTTAGTCTTAGTCTTGGCCTTGGCCTTGGTCTTGGTCTTGGTCTTGGTCTTGGTCTTGGTCTTGGTCTTGG